TTTTTTTTTTTTTTTTTTTTTTTTGAGATAGGGTCTTCCTGTAGCCCCTGGTGGCCTAGATAGCACTATATAGACCCGGCTGGCCCCGACCTCACAGAAATCCACCTGCCTCTGCCTCTGCCTCCTGAGTGTGGGGATTAAATGTGTGCACCACAACACCCGGCTTAATATAATATTTAAATTTATTCTTTGAGGATTTCATTCATGTATACAATGTATTTTGGTCGTATCTACCTCCCTTCCACATTCCCCATCCCTGCCAACATGTCTCTTTCCCAACTTCATGTCCTCTTGAAAACTTTTTTTAATATTTATTTTTCTTTATTGTGTGTATGTGTATACATGGGTGCACACATGTGAGTGTGCCATGGCACGTGTCCAGGACAACTTGTGGGTAGTTGGTTCTCTCGGTCTCAATCCTTGGGGATTGAACTCAAGACCTCAGGCTTGGCAGCAACCACCTTTACCCACTGAGCCATCTCCCTGGTCCTTTTACATTTTTTCAAATGACCTGCTGAGTCTAATTAGTGCTGCCCACATGGGCACAGGTGTTGGACCACCTACTGGCGCAAGGGCAACCTACCAGTGGCTATACCCACAAAAGAAAAATGACTCTCCCTTCTCCAGCAGCCATAAACTGCCAATAGTTTCTCAACTAGGGGTGGGAAGAATCCCTCCCCCATCCATGTTGGAATTCTGTGCGGCCAACCATAGCTGCTGTATAAGTTCATGAGTGCAGTAGCTGTGTCATGTCTAGAAGGCAGCTCCTCTCATCTTCCTGTTCTTAAATTTTTTTCTCACCTCTCTTCTGAGATGTTCCCTGAGCCAGGGTCTCATGCAGTACAGGCTGGCTTTGAACTTGCTATATAGCAAAGGATGACCTTAAACTCCCAACTACCCTCTACCTCTGAAGTGCTGGGATTAAAGGTGGATGCCACCATGCACAGCTCAGTCTTCTATTTTGAAATAATGCTTACTCAATAGCTCATGCCTATGATTCCAACACTAAGGAGGCGGAAGCAAGGTTGTTCCAAAGCTGAGGCCTCAGGATTTCCTCAAATCTGAGGCCAATCTAAGCTATATAATGAGTTCTAGGCCAGCCTAGGCTGCCAATTGAAAAAAAAAAAAAGGAGATGTTGAAAATATACAGTTGATATATCTCAATGGTAGAGTGCTCGCTTAGCCTGTGCAAGGTCCTGGGTTCCATCCCAAGTACCACAAAGACAAGGAAAGCAACTCTTATAGCATCTTCCTGGGGCTCACAAGTCCTGTAGACTCCAGTTCCTGTCTTCTGTTGGACTCATGTCAGCTGAACAGAGAACATTTCATAATATAAAAATAACCCACTCCAAGGACCTACCCCTCCCAGTGTAGAAAGGTCCAAAGACTTCCTGAGAAAGGTGACCTGCTATGTTCCTTGCTATAGACCATTGTCTTGCTGGTGAACTCTTAATTCAATTGGACTCTGCAAGCATTTACTGGGCATCTACTACATACAAATTCCATGTTGAGGACTGAGCAGATACACACAGAATTAAGGGCAGAGGATTTCAGTCTGGTGGGAGAGACAGTCTATTAGAAGTTCTAGTGAGAAGCACAGTGTAATCTGGTTGTAACTAGGCTATATACAGTGTAAGAATAGCCTATGAGAGCCCAGAGGAAGAAGCAATGAATCCCTATTGGGAAGACTGGGTGGACTTCACAGCATAGCTTGGCTTTAAAGAATGCATATTAGGGCTGGTGAGATGGCTCAATAGGTAATGGCACTTGCAACCAAACTTGATGACCTGCGATCAATCCCTGGGACCTGCATGGAGGAAGAAGGGTACCCATTCCTGCAAGCTATCCTCAAACACACACAGGCACACACACAGACACACACAAATACACAGACATGGGGGGTGGGGGCGCAAGAGAGACAGAGAGAATGGATGCATAGGAGAGACTGGGATGTAACTCAGTTGGTAGAGTGTTTGCTCAGCATACACAAACTCCTAGGTTCAATTCCTAGCACTGCATAAAATTGGGTAAAGAGGCTCACACTCATTATCTCAGCACTTGAGAGTAAAGGCAGGTACTCAAGGTCATCAATGTCAGAATGGGAAACAAGAGACCTTGTCCCCAAAAAAAGAGCCAGGCATGGTATACACCCTTTAATCCCAGCACTTAGGAGGCAGAGGCAGGTGGATCGCTCTGAGGCCAGCCTGGTCTACAGCTGCCCCTTTGAGTTTTTTAAAAAAAAAAAAAAAAAAAAAAAAAGAATGTATAGGAAACTTAACCCTATTTACATGGAAATCTCCCTAGCTGGTAGAGAGGAGGGGTTTGATGACAAACATACTTCTGCTTTTTGGAGTGACACAGCAACACAATGGGGCACTGCATAACACTCATCACCATGATGGTCTAAAATATTCAAGTCAAATATTCCTTGGTTTCTTTGAGTAGGTCTCATGATAGGATATGAACCCACAAATAGGTGTTTTCTTTCCTCTTCAATGCACTAAAATTCCGACTGTCCTTTAAGGCCAAGGTCAGTCTCCCAGTTTTATTTGGGTTAAAAAAAAAAAAAAAAAACGAAGACTCACAGTAAAAATTACCTTAGGGCTATGGCTGTCCCCTAGTAGTAAAGCATTTGCTTGCCTAGCACATGCAAGGCCCTGGGTTCAATCTTCAGCACTGCAAAATAAATTTAGAAACAGGAGCAAGGCCAGTCCTGGTGGGGTTTGCCTATAACCCTAGCACTCAAAGAGCGGGAGGCAGAAAAATCAGAAGTTCAAGGTCAGTTTCAGCTACAAAGTAAATTCAAGTCTGGCCTAGATCACATGAGATTCTGGGTTACAAGAGACCCTGTCACAAAAACAAAACAGGGAGCTGGATATGGTGCTGCATGCTTTTAATTCCAACTTTCAAGAGGCAGGTGGATCTCTGTGAGTTCGAGGCTAGCCTGGTCTACACAGTGAATTCTGGGCCAACCAGGACTACATAGTAAGACCCTGCCTCAAAATAAACCCCCAAACAAACAAATAAAAACAACAATAACAAAAAAACCCCAGGGGCTAGAGAGATGGCTCAGTGGTGAAAAGTACTTGCTGCTCTTGCAGGAATTGGGTTCAGTTTCCAGCACCCATGTAAGGCAGCTTACAACCACTCTAGCTCCAGGGGATCTGATGTCCTCTTCTGGCCTCTGTTGGCACAGCCCCAGAAATAATAAAAATTAATACAAACAAATAAAAATAATAAAAAAATCCACCAAAAAATAGTAGCTAGGCATGTTGGCTCAAGTCAAACCTGTTATTCCAGCACTTAGGAGGCTGAGGCAGGAGGATTGCTTTAAGCTTGAGGATATAGCCTGGGTGGCAAGAAATCTGACCAAAAAATAAAAATAAAAAAATTAAAAAAACCCCTACATCTATCTGGTTTTCTGTGCACAGTCCAACATAGCTGTCCTCCACCAGGTACTGAAACACCGTCTATGTGGTTTAGAGCTGACCTAGACTCTCCCAGATCAAACCAGAGTCAGACTTCTCTGCTCCTTCTTCTTGACTAGGTCTCGACCTCAGCTCCCTACATCCCTAGCCTAGATCAGATTTAGCAAGAAGAGGCCTACAGAGTTTATTGAGAATTTCCCTATCCTTAATATAAAATCACCTTTGATAGCTGCTCAAGTTTCTCACCTCCTGCTCTCTGGTCTGCCTATAACAAGAATTCTCTTGCTGTTAGTAAACTCTTATACACCAACACCCTCCAGCTGCCATAAATCCTCAGAATTCTGCTGTATTTGGAGTTAAACTCCATCTCTCTCTTCCCTATTGCCAAAGTATTTGACTTGTGTTCAGGGTCATGTTGTACTTTGTGGACACAGGTGGATGTACACATGGGAAGTGTTGATTGGATGTCTTCCAATGCTAAGTGCTCTTTACTTTCCTTCAAGATTTTTCTTATCTCTAGTATCATTTTTTTATTTACTCCATTGTCTAGTGTACTGCAGGCTATATGATGTATGCATATTTTCCATCTTTGTGTTCCCATAGTGTCTAGGCCTGTGTAGAGCATAAAACATGTCATCATCTTTGCCTCTTCCTGTTAATGCTCTGTTCAAAATGTACATTCATTATATAAATAAAACAATATTCTCATCAACATGGACAACCCCTATCTTCTCCCCTGACCCCTGACCACACTACCACAGCACAAGGTCATAGCAGACCTACCTCATCCACAGGGGCCTTTTGTTCATCTACAACTCAGTCTTTCTCGAAATCTGCGTATTTATTTGTGTAACTCTTTATGCCCATCCTTGCTAAATTGTCTCCTGGTCTTCTGCCCAAAGAAACAGCCTGTTGATAGAGGTGTTTCTGAAGCATGCTTCTATGATTTGACAGAAGTCTCTTTGATTTTTTTCACTTGGGTGGCAACAGGAAAAGGAAACCAAATATCTTCAGCGACAGGGTAAAAGGGGCCTCCAGGAGGCTGTCCCTGGCCCTGGGTCTCCATGGAGAAGCCACAGGTGCTAATGGAGGTTTGGCTGCCTACGCAGTTTGTGCCCTTTTCTCTCCGAAGCTCCCCGAGATTCTCCCTCCTACCCGGGGCCCCTACGGCTCTCCAGGAGAGGGGACCCCCGAGGCGACAGCCCCTCAATACGGGGGCGGGGATCCCCGCGGAGCCCGCGCCTGCAGCGCCTTCTCCGCGGTCCCCTCGGGGCTCCCCTCCCCCATCGCCAGCGACGCCCCCAGCCCTGGGAGCCGCGCGTGGGCCCGACCCCTCTCGACCGGCCGATGCAGAGCGGGCTGGGGTGGCGCGGGCGGGGCGTGGGCAGGCGCGAGGGCGGTCTGCCGGGACCGCGGGATCCGCTCGGCCCAGCGCTGCGTCCTGGCGCCCGCGGCGGGAAGGTGGCCCCGCGCCTGGGGTGGGCGGTGGACGGGCCAGTACCTGTGCTTGAAGTCGCGGTTGTAAATCGTCCGTAGCCGCTCGCGATCTGTCTCCAGGTCCAGTCCGCGTTCAGCCAGGAAACTCTCGAACCTCTGGCCCGCCTCCCGGAGCTTTCGGCAGCTGAACTTGCTGGGCATCGCGGCGGCGGCTGCGGCCCAGGCAAGAGGGTCCGTGGAAATGAAACTGAAAGTCGCCGCCGCGGTTAGAAGTTGGCTGCCCTGGGGTGAGGGTGCAAAGGGGAAAAGCCCCCCACCTCCGATGTCTGCTCTGGCCAGCCACCTTCTCCCGCCAGCCTCCCCTCCTCCGTCCTCCTCCTACCTGAGCCTCCCCTTCGGTCTCTCCGTCCTATCCCCTCCCCCTCTTCGCATTAACTCTTTCCTAAGGAGTCTGACCCCTCCCTCAGGGCCCTCCCCTTACCCTAAGCTCCCTCCCTTGGCTGCAAGCCAGGATCGGAACGTGGCTATCGCCTGGGGCCCCCTAAACAGTGGGGAGGACCTCGGAGCTTCAGCTAGGGCTACTCCCACGCCCACTCTCTAGAGCCTCGGGACTTATTGAAAAGCTACAGAGCAAAGGGCAGGAGCCTGGGACTTGGGTCGGCTGCTGCTAGACTGGGGCTGCTCGTCCAGCACCTCCCCCAGACTGCCAGGGACATAAACCAGTGAGGAAGCGAGCGGCACGCCCCCCTCCCCCATTTTCCCTGCTTTGGCTTTCCGAGGCAGAGGAAGGCAGAAGGCAAAGTTGGGGGTGTGGGGGTGAGCAGGCGTCCCCAAGATAAAGGTGTGTACGTGTGGGAGAGAGAGACAAGGGCTTCTGCCAAGGCCCAGTCTACTTTTCTCGGCCACACAGGCTTCATTATGTTGAAAGGCTGGAGATCCTTGCCCTTGAGCCATGTATTTGAGCACTTAATTGCACTCTAGTTTGTATTACTTGTTAGCGGTATGTAAGTCAGGCTGGCCCAGTCCTCAAAATATAATTAGCACGCTGAGAGCAAGACATTGTTATGTTAGGCAATAAATGGTTAACAGCAACAGGAAAAGAAAGAAGCCCAATGTGCTTTAAGAAACTGCTTAGACAAACTAAACCACCACAACAAATGTAAAACAAGCCTTCACCCATTTATTCTCTGGAATGAAAGAAACACACTGTAGATGATAAACCAATCTCACACATATACTAGTGGTCCAAATATATCAAAGTTACTCTTGTTCTCCAAAGTGTTCCCTAGAGGCGGCCACACAATCTAACCTGGGTACTATGCCTAGAACCCAGGTCATGCTGAAGCTGGACCTTCTCCCTGGCCAACAAGAAAAGCCAGGAATAACAGGCTTTTGCAACAGGAAATGCAGTGTTAGCAAGAAACAAGGAAACAAGGATGGGGGAAAATAGAGCAAGGGATTTTATATCCTAGAAATTGATTACGCAAACTAGAAGGGAAAAATTAGAAGAGTAGCCAGTGTTGACCTTTTTTTGGTCTTTTTTGAGACAGGGTTTCCCTGTAGCCCCAGCTGGCCTGGAACACAGTATGTAGACTACCCAGACTGGCCTTGAACTCAGACATCCGCCTGCCTCTGCCTCTGAGCGTTGGGATTAAAGGCATGCCACCATGCTGGGCTCTCCCCCAGTTTCTTAAAGAGACTACTCAAAACTGCTGTTGCTAGTGGAGCATGGTGGCCTGCACCTGTAATCCTGGTTAGTGAGAGGCTGGAGCAGAAGAATCATTGGGAGTTTCAGGTCAGCAGCAGCTATATAGTAAGTTTTTTTTTTTGTTTTTTTTTTTTCGGTCTTTTTTTGGGACAGGGTCTCCCTGTAGCCCCAGCTGCTCTGGAACTCACTGTGTAGACCAGGCTGGCCTTGAACTCACAAAACTGTTACTATTTCATAATCCTACAATCTACCATACTCCAATCCAATGTCTAGCTCACTTTTGGCAGCAAATCTAAGCTCCTGGACACCTGAGGATCTTGGCCTTTTCTCTGGTCAGGGCCATTTCTTGGATGTTCTCAAAACACAGGCAAGCATCTAAAAGTTGGGCAAACATTTGATGTTGTGTGGCTTTGGTTCCAGTAGGATTTCTCGAAACCAATGCCTTCTGGAAACTTCTACCTTACATGGAATTATTTTTACATATGCATTTGTAGACATCTAGAATAGTTTTTCCACCACCCACATCCAGTTTAGGTCTCACTTTCCTGAAGCTTTCCTTACATGTATCTTATAAGAATGAACTTCAGAGTAGGGCTGATTTCATTGGGCCCAAACAGCAACAATGGCAGTCTGAAGGTTAATGTTGGCCAGTTGTATGTGGAATAAATCCACAATATCTCAAGGCAGAAGCTTTGTATTTTAATTCTCATTATTTGGGTTCTATAAATCATCATTTGTGTATTATCTAGCCTTGTGTATCCAAACTAGATTATATTTCCCAATGCAACTAACTAGAAGCAGCTCAAACTAAAATACAGACTAAGGAAGAGGCTCCAGTAGGTATAGTTGAGTCTCATTATTTGAAGATCCTATATTTTCAATCTATCTCATCACTAATACTTATCTGTATTAGTTCACACTCATAGTGCTTTGAGTTGTTCAAGGAAGTTCAGAGAAGAATAACAGAGTGGTTTCCCAGTGCATGTTCCCAGCTGAGGCTCAGACCTATGATGCTCTGTGATGCTCTTGGTTCAGCCCTCATAAACAAATATCCTCATGATCTGTTTAATACTAGGGCTTTTGCCCTTTTGTGCTTTTTGGTGGTGATTTTACTGCTTAAATATGGATAGTGCTGAAATGTAGTCTACTATTCCTAAGCACCGAAAACTTTACAGAGAAAATTCCTATTACATAAACTTCATTCATTCCAGCACTTGGGAGGTTGAGGCAGGGTTGTTGAGGGAAGATGGTCTCAAAATCAAAAAAAAAAAAAGCTTTAG